CGCCAATTTTGAAGACAGTCTCAATTTCTCTTGATTACTCCAGACATTCTTTTTTGCAAGAGTACTTCTTTGCTTGTCTCATTCTACTCGTCTTTTATAACTTCTCGCTATTTGGCTCTCACATTGGCTATGATATCTTGTATGCTTGTTTATAAGGATCATCTGCTAATACTGCCCATGACCTTCTCCCTTATATAGTTTTATCAATGCTCTTGCGATTGCACAAGATTTATCGCTATCCGTATTAGTATTTGGCCTATTTTCCTTTTGCATGAGAGTATGATATGAAAAGATTTTTGGTAAACTTCGCCAGTATTCTGCAGTTGATTGTTAGATAAATCAGCCTGGTCATTTAGGACACCTTGAGGGACTGTTTTATAAGGTTTCGATTTTAACGTAATTTGGTAGCAGCTAATTTATCAAAATTCTTATCACAAATTTAGGGTAAAATTAGGCCAGTAAAATTAGACTGTTTTTCATACGATTGTGAAGGCGAACTTGGAGAGGAATATAAATGGTTTTGATTAGTTTACTTGCATTTATTTTTTTAAATATATTTGCATTTGAATAGGATGCACTATGATTATGTTGGATTGATGAACTTAAAATCTAAAATATGATGTTTAACGTGTAATCATGGAACATATTAATCCAGCGAAATAAGACTTGACTTGAAATCTGTTGAGAACTTATATTTTCCTGGGATTAATCTCTACAAAGTCCAAATAATCCTTTTATACCTGGCAATTTTAATCGTTTACACTTCTTTTAGCACATCTTGAAGCAAGGTCGCTTTCCCGAAACTTTTCCAAAGCATGTTCTAGAGACACTAGAGTTCTTGAATTAGCATTCATTTTATTCTCATTTATAGGACTTTTGACCCAACAAACTTCTGACTGATGAACGATTGGATGCATTTTTATCTTGTCTTTCTCATGATCCCCCAATAGTAATTTTCTTTGGCTTATACATTTGATCCCAGGCTGATGCGCTCTCTTTTGGTATATTTATACTTATCACTATAAATATTCATGGAATCCAGGATAACTTGGAGGTAATTTCACACTAATTGTTCTTAATTATTTCTCCTTTATTTTTACTCTTATTAAACTGTGAATTTTCTGTTTTGGTTTATTATATACCTTTGCTACTAAATATGCACGGAGTAAGGGGTTCACTTTATAAACCAAAACCAACATAAAAACATTCTGGGTCTATTATATCTATGCACTTTAGATTCTGAACTTAATTTATATAAATATGAGGACCAAGGTGATGTGGTCTTCTCTTTGGTCTCCTTTAGTTTTCTAGTGTTCGTTAGACTTCTTTTTCGCAACATGGTCGGAGCGTCAGGGAGACCTTGTGGAACATACCTAGTCCTGTATCCTCTGCCATATTATTCATGATTTCCAGCATCGGACCATTGACTTAGTACATTCGGAAACGTTGATTGGTTTAATTATTCATGCATTGCTACCATTTTAGCTCACTTGGAAATTAAGTATTATCATAAAAGTTGGCAACAGTAAAGTTAGGTATAACTGTCGATATTCGCAAAGATTAATTAAATTTTGACGAGTATGCAAAATGATCG